CCTCCTCCTCCTCCTCCCTCCTCCTCCTCCTCCGCTACTCTCTTCATCATCCTTATCCTCCCTCCACCACCTCCTCCTCCTCCTCCTCGATCCTCCTCCTTCTCCTCCTCCTCCTCCTCTTCCTCCTCCTCCTCCTTCTCCTCCCCCTCCACCTCCATTCCTTCTCCTTATAACTTACTCCTCTCTGTCGCACCCCGATGCTAGTTGTTAGGGCGGGCCGGGCCTTTCGCCTGCGACTTCCGAACCATTTATGACCCTGAAACTTTTAAAAGTTGACAACAGCTTCACAGATGGAAGGCGGGCCATCTTCAAAATGTGGCTCTCTCCTTAGCGCCGCGCACCTTCGAGATCAAAGTTTGCAAGCGGTTCACGGATTGAGGGCGGGTCGTTTTCAATATGTGGCTCTCGCCTTAGCGCCGCGCACATTCGCCTTCAACATTGGCAAGAGCTTCACGGATTGAGGGCGGGTGCTTTTCAAAATGTGGCTCTCGCCTTGGCGCCGCGCATCTTTGTTTTCAAAATTCGCAAAAGCTTCACGGATTGAGGGCGGGTCGTTTTCAAAATGTGGCTCTCGCCTTGGCGCCGCACACATTCGCCCTCAACATTGGCAAGAGCTTCACGGATTGAGGGCGGGTGCTTTTCAAAATGTGGCTCTCGCCTTGGCGCCACGCATCCTTGTTTTCAAAATCCGCAAAAGCTTCACGGATTGAGGGCGGGTCGTTTTCAAAATGTGGCTCTCGCCTTAGCGCCGCGCACATTCGCTCTCAACAGTTGCAAGAGCTTCACGGATCGAGGGCAGGTCGTTTTCAACACAGCGCCGCGCTCAAAGCTTGCAAGGGTTTCACGGATTGAGGGCGGGTCGTCTTCAAACTGTAGCTCTGATCTTAGCGCCGCGCACATGTGTTTACAAACTTGCAAGACTTTCACGGATTCCCATGATCGGCGAACTAGAAATTCTGCTTGGGCAGGATTCGCGATTTTGAAAGCGCTACAGTTACGATGCTTCGTTGAGTTGAGGTTCCAAGAACGGCGTTCTGGCACGATTCAGGATCGTCAAGACGCAACAGTCAAGTTCATCCGTGGCACTGGAGTACCGAGGATACGTAATGCGTTGACATGCTTGAGGGTCTTCAAACGGCAATCTCCCAACGGGGCAGGTCCCTCCGCGGAAATGAGCCGTTGTGTAGGGCCCATGAAGAGGGAGCCTGGGGGGAGGGTTCCTTCCAACATCGTTGGTGCCCCGTGGGTTGACACTGGTCCTCATCCTCCTTCTCATCCTCATCCTCCTCTTCTTCCCCTTCCTCCACCTCCTCCCCCTCCTCCTCCCTCTCCTCCTCCTCCTCCTCCTCCTCCTCCTCCTCCTCCTCCTCCTCCTCCTCCTCCTCTCCTCCTCCTCCTCCACCTCCTCCCTCCTCCTCCTCCTCCTCCCCTCCTCCTCCTCCCCATCCTCTCCCTCCTCCTCCTCCTCCTCCTCTTCCTCCTCCTCTTCCACCTCCCTCCTCTTCCTCCTCCTCCTCCTCCTCCTCCTCCTCCTCCTCCTCCTCCCCCTCTTTCCTCCTTCCTCCACCTCATCCTCCTCCTCTGCCTCCCCTTCCTCCCCCCCTCCTCCTCCTCCTCCTCCTCCTCCTCCTCCTCCTCCACCTCCCCCATCCTCCTCTCCTCCTCCTCCTCCTTCCTCCTCCGCCTCCTCTCTCCTCCCTCCTCCTCCTCCTCCTCTCCTCCTCCTCCTCCTCGCTCCTCCTCTTCCTCCTCCTCCCTTCCTCCTCCCCCCCTCCTCCTCCTCCTCCTCCTCCTCCTCCTCCTCCTCCTCCTCCTCCTCCTCCTCCTCCTCCTTCCTCCTCCTCCTCCTCCTCCGTCCTGGCCGCCAAAACCGTGCCAGAACTCGACGCTGTTTGTGTCGGAGTTACGCAGGGCCGTCTAAGGCGAGCACCCTGCTGCGCCACGCTCGCATCGCAGCTGTGGCCGATCAGCAGGCACGGGAGCGCGGGTGTGCCGTTTGAGGCTGAACGCTTGGTGCTTGCTGCTCCCTTCCCTTCCCCCTTCCCGTCACCTCTGCACGACGTTGCTTGCCAAAACGTTCCAAAACGTTCCTCCTTCTCCTCCTCCTCCCCTCCTCCTCCTCTCCTCCTCATCCCCTCCTCCTCCACTTCCTTCTCCTCCTCCTCCTCCTCCTCCTCCTCCTCGTCCTCCTCCTCCTCCTCCTCCATTCCTTCTCCTGGTAAACAACTTCTCCATTTCGCACCCCGAAGCCAAGTTTAGGGCGGGCCGGGCGTTGCCAGCGACTTCCGTTCCATTCATGACTCTGAAGCGTAAACAGTGGCAACAGTTTCACATATTGAGGGCGTCCCGTTTTCAAAATTTGGCTCTCGCCTTAGCGCCGCGCACATTCGTTTTCAAACGTTGCAAGAGTTTCACGGATCGAGGGCGGGCCGTTTTCAACATGTGGCTCTCGCCTTAGCGCCGCGCGCATTCGTTTTAAACATTTGCAAACATTTCACGGATTGAGGGCGAGTGGTTTTCAAAATGTGGCTCGCGGCTTAGCGCGGTGCACACTCGTGTTAAACATTTACAAGACCTTCACGGATTGAGGACGGGTGGTTTTCAAAACGCGGCTCTTGCCTTAGCGCCGCGCGCATTTGTTTGTTTGAATTCGCAAGAACTTCACGAATTGAGGGCGAGTGGTTTTCAAAATGCGGCTCTCGCCTAAGCGCCACGCGCATTCGTTCTAAACATTTGCAAGAGCTTCGCGGATTGAGGGCAGTTCCTTTTCGAAATGCGGCTCTCGCCTTAACGCCGCGCACATTCGCTTTCAAATTTTGCAAGAACTTCACGGATTGAGGGCGGGTCGGTTGCAAAATGTGGCTCTCTCCTTAGCGCGGCGCATATTCGCTCTAAAGGCGGCTCCCTTTCGAAATGTGGCTCTCGCCTTAGCGCCGCGCACATTCGCTTACACAAATTCCAAGAGCTTCACGGATTCCCAGCATCAACGTACCAGCAATGGTGTTTTGGAAGGAGTCAGGATTACGCGGACGCAACAAGTACGTTGATCCTCTATATTGAAATCCTAGTAACGGCGATCTGGCACGATTCGGAATCGTCAAGACACAACAATCAGGTTGATATGTGGCGTTGGAATCCCCGAAACGATGTTTCGGCATGCTTCGGAGACTTCAAACGTGTCTTCCAACGGGACAGTTCCTTCAATGGAAATGAACCGTGGCAGGGGCCTCTGAAGAGGAAGCTTGGAGGGAGGGTTTACTCCAGCATCGTTGGCGACTCCTGGGTTTACCCTGGTCCTCATCCTCCTTCTCATCCTCATCCTCCTCCTCTTCTTCCCCTTCCTCCACCTCCTCCTCCTCCCTCTCCTCCTCCTCCTCCTCCTCCTCCTCCTCCTCCTCCTCCTCCTTCTCTGCCTGCTCCTCCTCCTCCTCCTCCTTCCTCCTCCTCCTCATCATCCTCCTTCTCCTCGTCTCATTCCTCCCCCTTCCGCCGCCACCTCCTCCTCCTCGTCCGCGCTTTCCTCCCCCCTTCCTCCCCCATCCTCCCCCCATCCTCCTCCTCCTCCTCCTCCTCCTCCACCTCCCTCCTCATGCCTTCACTTCCGTCCTCCCTCTCCTCCTCCTCCTTCTCTTTCCGTCCTCCCTCCTCCTCCTCCTCCTCCACCTCCTCCCTCCTCATGTTTCCTCCTCCTCCACCTGTCCTCCTCCATCCTCTCCCCTCATCCGCTTTCCTCCTCCTCCTCCTCCTCCTCCTCCTCCACCCTCCTCCTCCTCCCCTCATCATCATCTTCATCATCATCATCATCACATCATCATCATCAGCCATCATCATCATCATCATCAGCATCATCATCATCACATCATCATCACCTCTTCATCCACCTCATCCTCATCATCCTCATCATCATCATCATCCTCCTCCTCCTACTCCCCTCCTCTCCCTCCTCCTCCTCCTCCTCCTCCTCCCTTCCTCCCTCCCCCCCCCCCTCCTCCTCCTCCTGCCTCCTCCGCCTCCGCCTCCTCCTCCACCCCTCCTCCTCCTCCTCCTCCCTCCATCCTCCGCCTCCTCCTCGTCCTCCTCCTCCGCCTCCTCCTCCTCCACTTCCGCCTCCTCCTCCTCTTCCTCCATCTCCGCTTTCCCTTATTCCCCCCATCCCCTCCACCTCCTCCTCCTCCCCTCCTCCTCCTCCTCCTCCTCCTCCTCCTATTATGAGTCCTTCTCATTAGACCTCCTCCGGACTATTATTGCTGCACGCGTCCTCCCTCATTTCCTCGTCCTTATCCTCCTCATCTCACTCCTCCTCCTCCTCCTCCTCCTCCTCCTCCTCCTCCACCTCCTCATCTTCCTCCTCCTCATCATCATCAGCATCATCATCATCATCAGCATCATCATCATCAGAATGATCATCATCAGCATCAGCATCATCCTCATCAGCAGCATCGCCATGAGCATCATCATGATTATCAGCATCATCAGCATCATCATCAGCCTCATCATCTGCATCAGCATCAGCATCAGCATCAGCATCAGCATCAGCATCAGCATCCTCGTCATCAGCATCCTCATCTCACTCCTCCTCCTCCTCATCCTCCTGCTGCTCCTCCTCCTCCTCATCAGCAGCATCAGCATCCTCATCCTCATCCTCATCCTCATCCCCCCCCCCCCTCAGCCTCCTCTTCCTCCTCCTCCTCCTCCTCCTCCAACTCCTCCTCCGCCTCCTCCTCCTCCGCCGTCTCCTCCTCCTCCTCCTCCTCCTCCTCCTCCTCCTCCTCCTTCTCCTCCTCCTCATTGGTTTCCTCTTCCTCCTCCTCCTCCTCCTCCTCCTCCTCCTCCTCCCCTTCCTTCTCTCCTTCCTCCTCCTCTTCCTGGCCACCGCGCCGCGACCGCGTTCGCCCAAACGCCGAGCCGCAACGCCTCACCGCCCCTGGCCGCGGGGGGGGGGGCTGCCGCGGGCAGGGGGGGGCCGCCTTGATCGCGGTCTCCGTGGCATTGCCGAGGGCCTCTCGCTCGGGGGGGCAGATGGAGGGAGGGAGGGGGCCTCAACGGTCTCGACCTCGCTCCGTGCTCCCTCCCTCCATCCCTTCCCTCCCTCCCTCCTCCCCTCCCTCCCACTTCCCTCCTCCCTCGCCCTCCTCCCTCCGATCAATCTTCAGTGGCGGCCCGCTCGCATACCTTGCGGTGTTTTGCGGTCCCCACGCCCTCCTCCTCCTCCTCCTCCTTCCCTCCTCTCCTCCTCCTCATGTATCCGTCCTCCTTTTCGTCCTTCTGTGCTTACCTCCCACCCCTCCTCCTCCTCCTTCCTTCACCTCTCCAATCCTTATAGAATTCGTTTTTGGTGTTTTAATGAACCATCTCGTTTTAGTAGTAGAAGTAGTAATAAGTAGTAGCAGTATTAGTAGTAGTAAAGTAGGAGAAAAAAGTAGTAAGTATAGTAGTAAAAGTAGTAGTATCGTAGTCGAGTAGTAGTTAGTAGTATTATGTAGTAGAAAGTAGTAGTAGTAGTAAGAAAAGTAGAAGTAGTAGTTAAAGTAGTAGTATAAGTAAGTAGTAGTAAGTAGAAGTATAGTAGTAGTAGTATACAAGTAGTAGTATATACTAGTAGTAGTATAGTAGTAGTAGTAGTAGTAGAGCAAGCAGTAAGTAGCAGTAGTAAGTAGTATAGTGGTAGTAGTAGTAGTAAGTAGTAGTATAGTCGTAGTTATAGTCGTAGTAAGTCGTAGTAGTAGTAGTAGTAGTAGTAGTAGTAGTAGTAGTAGTAGTAGTAGTAGTAGTAGTAGTAGTAGTAGTAGTAATAGTAGTAGTAGTAGTAGTAGTAGTAATAGTAGTAGTAGTGGTGGAAGTAGTAGTAGTAGTAGTAGTAGTAGTAGTAGTAGTAGTAGTCGTAGTCGTAGTCGTAGTCGTAATCGTAGTCGTAGTAGTAGTAGTAGTAGTAGTAGTAGCATTACTATAATTATTCGTATTGGATTATATTTATTCGTATTGCGAACGGAACGGGACGGGAACGGAAGGAACGACCGTCAATTCAAGCATACCAAAAGCAACCCATTCCGGTTCCGACGGCGATGCACAATGTCAATCAATTGAAATGCACATGATGCCAATCAATTCAAATGCTCAGATGCCCCCCTCCTCCTCCGCCTCCTCCTCCTCCTCCTCCTCCGCGCTCTCCTCCTCCGCCTTCTCCTCCTTCTTCTTGTTTTGTTTCGGCGTCTATCTTACATACTTAAGAAAATCTCAATAGTCTACCCTGGAACTCAGATTTTCTTAAATAGGGTTAAGAAAATCCAGACCCTGGCTCCGAAGTTGCTTTTTCTTAATTATCCTGTAGGGTGTATTATTCGCAGTTTCATGAATATCAAGATCAAGATCCGTATTAATATTGTTTATACAAATAGTATTAGCTGTGTTATTGATGTTTTTCTTCGTAACATTCGTACTACTTAGTAGAATTATCCATTTGATTATTCCGGGTAATACGAATCATAACAATACCAGTCGCACGATGATTCTCATTGCTATGAATTTGCTTCGTGTTATTTTTGTCCTCCTTTTCCTCCTCCGCCTCCTCCTCCACCTCCTCCTCGTCCGTCCACCATTCTCCCTCTGCCCTTCGCCTCATCGGGTGGGCGCGACCAACACTCCCCTAGGGGCGGGGGTATTTATGTAAGGGCGCGCCGCTTGATCTCTCCAAGGGGTAGGGGGTGTTGGGAACTCCTCCACCCCACCCCCCCTTTCCCCCCCCGATCCGTCGTCGGGGACCACCCCCCCCCCTTTCCCGGTCCGTCGTCGGGGACCCCCCCCCCTCCCCCACTCCCGGTCCGTCGTGGGGGGAACCCCCCCCTGCCCCCCTTTCAAAAGGGGGGGGCGGGGGGGGGGGGGGGGCGGTCCCACCACCCTCCCCCCCTTTAGCCGCCAAATTCGAACCTCCCCCCCTCCCCCCCTTTCGCCACGGCGCCCCCTGGCTCCGGAACCCGACCCCGACCAGCCCTAGCACTAATCCTCACCCCGACCACCCGTAACCCTAGCCCCAAACCCTAACCCTAGCCCCAATCATTACTCAGTACTCAATATTCATTACTCACTACCCACTACTCACTACCCGCTACTCACTACTCACTTCTCACTACTCACTACTCACTACTCACGACTCACTACTCACTACCCACTACTCACTACCCACTACCCACTACCCACTACCCACTACTTCCTGCTGACTACTCACTACTCCCAACTCACTACTCACTGTTCAGTACACACTACCGGGGCGTGCGTAAAAAGAACGACCATCCGTCGATATGATGAGGTAATGGCGCTCTGCATTAGAAGTAATGATCGTGCGTGTCGTACGAAACGTGTGAGGGGTGTGCCGCGAAACGGGCGCGGGGCCAGAATACGCTCAAACAGGGTCCTCCTGGAACGGCGGAGTGTCCATTATCTTCGCCCGCGCGTGAGGCCACTGTATCGTTTCCATTATCTTCGCCCTACGCTCAAACAGGGTCCTCCTGGAACGGCGGAGTGTCCATTATCTTCGCCCGCGCGTGAGGCCACTGTATCGTTTCCATTATCTTCGCCCGCGCGTGAGGCCACATTCTCGGTCCCATGAGGCCACTGCATCGTTTCCATTATCTTCGCCCGCGCGTGAGGCCACATTCTCGGTCCCATGAGATTCGCCCGCACGTGGGGCCACATTTTCGCATTCATCTGTTACAGCCCAAAAATCGCGTTCGCCCTCCCCCCCCTCCCCCCCATGGAGCAAAGCTGGGTGGAGGCGGAAGCGCCGACCTGCCCGGCCCACGAGTCAGCTTTGCACTTCGGGGGGGAGGGGGGGGAGGGAAAGAGGGAGGGAGGGAGGGAAGGTGGAGGAGGCAGGAGGAGGAGGAGGACGAGGAGGGAGGAACAGCTTTGCACTTCGGGGGGGAGGGGGGGAGGGAAAGGGGGAGGGAAGGGGGAGGGAAGGGGGGAGGGAGGCAGTGGGGGAGGAGGGGGGAGGAAGAGGAGGGTGAAGGGGAGGAGGAGGAATGAGGAATGAGGAATGAGGAACGAGGAATGAGGAATCAGGAGGAGGAGGACGAAGAGGAGGAGGAGGGGGAGGAGAAGGAGGAGGAGGAGGAGAAAGGAGGAACAACTCTGCACTTCGGAGGGGAAGGGGGGGAAGGGAAGGAAGGAGGAAGGGAGGGAGGAGGGAGGAAAAGGAGGAACGAGGAGGATGGAGGAGGAGGAGGGGCGACGAGGAGAAGGAACGAGGATGATTTTCAAATGGAGTGCGAAGGAGTGCCTCTGGGGAGTATCTCCAGAGGCTTTCGGGCGGAGTGCGGACGACTGCGGAGGATTTCAAATTCGAGCGGAGGCCTCTGGGGAGCACCTCAAGAGGCCTCCAGGAGGAGTGCGGACGAATGCGGAGGATTTCAAATTCAAGCGGAGGCCTCTGGGGAGTGCCTCCGGAGGCTTTCGGGCGGAGTGCGGACGAATGCGGAGGATGTCAAATTCCAGCGGAGGCCTCTGGACTGCCTCCCAGAGGCTTCCGGGAGGAGTGCGGACGAGTGCGGAGGATATCAAATTCGAGCGGAGGCGTCCGGGGACTAGTGCTGGAGGCCTCCGGCGGGAGGATTGCGGACGAGTGCGGACGATTTTGAATTGGAGGCTGGAGGATGGGAGGGTGGGGCGGCGGGCGAGGGAAGGGGGAGGGATAGGCCCGGCGACAAAGAAGCGACCACATCTTCTTTGCGAGACCTTGCGTGCACAGGCTGTGATATGATTCGGGCAGGCCCAGTGAGGCAGACATGAAAACATCTCCCTGGCGAAGACGTGCGTGCAGAGGCTGTGATATGTTTTGCCAGCCGCGGTGAGGGAGACTTCAAACCATCTTCCTTGCCAAGATGTGCGTGCAAAGGCTGTGATGCGATGATGTTGGCATGTGAATCGAACGATGTCGTGCGTGCGATTGCTGTGCGATGATATGGTTGTGATGTGGAGGCAACTGTGAACCAAACGATGTCGTGCGTGCGATGGCTGTGCGATGATCTGGTTGTCATGTGGAGGCAACTGTGAACCGTCTGGCGCGCTCCGCGTGCCACGGTCGTTTATTTCGCACACACCGGTACTCAATACCCACTACCCACTAAGCACTACGCCCTACCCAATACTCACTACTCACTACTCACCACCCACTCGCCATTATCCACTACTCACTACTGAATACTCATAATTCACTACTCACTACTCATTGCCTACAACTCACTACTCACTACCCGCTGCTCGTTACTCGCTACTCCCTACTCCTTACACAGTATTTACTGCTCACTACTCACTACTCACTACTCACTATTCCCCACTCGCTACTCGCGACCCGATAGGCAATATTCACTACCCACTACGCACTACTCAGTACTCACTACTCCCTACTCCCTACTCAGTAGTCACTAGTCACAAGTCACTACTCATTGCTCACTACTCAGTACTCACTATTCACTACTCACGACTCATTACTTACTACTGACTACTCACTACTCGTCACTACCTACGTCCTACCCACTACCCACTACCGCTTCTCACTACTGACTACTCACTACTCACTACTCCCTACTCACTACTCACTACGCACTACTCACTACTCACTACTCACTACTCCCTACTCCCTACTCCCTACTCACTACTCACTACTTACTACTCACTACTCACTACTGACTGCTCCATCCACACTACTCACTACTCACAATGCCCTACTCGCTGCTCATTATTCACTACTCGCTACTCCCTACTCGCTACTCACTACCCACTACCCACTACCCACTACTCACTACTCACTACTCTCTACTCACGACTCACTGCGCACTACTCACTACTCACTACTCACTCCTCACGGCGCGCTTTTTTATCGATGTCCCCCTGTACCTTAGGAGGGGCATATCTGCCCCTCATCCCTCCTTCTCGTCCTTTTCCCCCTCCTCCTCCTCCACCACCATCTCTCCCCCTCCTCCTCCAGGAGGAGGAAAAGGCGGGA